GGTTTTTGAGGTGAAGGCAAGATCGGTGGTGTCAGTCAGTCAAGGAAAGGCTTCCTTTCAGAGATCAATACCTGATATCTGGCATTTTCTGAAAGGAGAGGGATGATATCAAGTATGGTACATACAGTCAAACCCGCGCAAATGCATACCCGCGCAGGTGCATAACCCGTGATAATGCATAGAAAAAATCGAGAATCTTGATGCTTTTTACTGCCAAATTTGACAACAGAAATGCATAACCCGTCAAAATGCATAGCAAAAGTCTTCCACCCAAATTATGCGTTTGCGCGGGTTTGACTGTACATTGGTTATCTTGATGTGATGGGAATAAGCCGCTACATACATGCCAGATCAACCGCCCCACTAAATCCACGCTCCCCTACATTGAAAAAATTTTGACGGGAGCGCGGGCGGGGCGCAAATACCCGCTGCACTGGGATTCCTGAAGTGCGGGTGGGGCGAACCGCTCCCCTTGCGCTCCCCTTCCGCTTTTTGCGGTGGAACGCTTCAGGTATTGATCACACCCGCCCTCCCCAAATAGCCTTTTTAAAAATATGTGAGGCCCAAATTATCCAGTGTGGCCTGAACTACTACCCTAGAATTACTCAACTTGGCCTTGAGATATCCAGTGTGGCCTGTGTTTGGAAATGATAGTTTGATATGATACAGATGGTACATTGAAAAAATAGAAGATGTGATACTTACAAAAGTGTGGCTTGTTTGATCAATTTTAATTACAGAGCACAATTATGAAAAAATGGATGAACATTCAACCATTGAGCTAGAACATGCAGAATGGATTCAAAATATTCAAATTGCTTTCAGCAAGAACATAGACACTGAACTTGAACTGCTGATTGATGCATATAAAGAGACCATTACCAGTGACCCTTGATTACATATGCATGTTACAGTTATGTATAATATGTAATATAAGCATTTTAACTCTTGACACTGAGTTATGAAGTGTAAATGATGTTTTTATTACATATTACATGTTGTTTTGAGTGTACAAGTGTATGCAATAAGTGTTTTTGTATACTTTTTTACATGTTACATACCACCCCCTTTGGTAACAAAAGTCGCATGAAGTTACATATGTGACTTTTGTATCACAGTGAGAAAACTTCTCACCGTGTGTGTATGTATATGTATGCCTTATGCAAAGACATTTGGTAAACTTGTCAAAGGTTGCATCATACAATCATTGACAAGTTTAACATTGTTTACCGTTTGATAAAATGCATATATATGTGTCATTTGACTTGATCATTAAATACCCTTGAGTGAATCAAGTACAAATCACTTGATTCTTGTCCTTCTCATCCTCATAGACATTGTCAAATTCAATTTTCTATCATATGCAAAAAAACCCCATGAAAACCCTTTCAACCAAATCACATTGCAAGAGAGAAGACTTCTTATCTTTTCAGATAGAGAATAATGATGAGGTTCTTGAATTGAAATGATGTAAGACTATGTATATGATAAAAAAGTTTGAAGGATACAATCATAAATCAATTTGGAGGAGTCATTCTTGGCTATACAATTCATTCAAAAGTTAAAATTACAATTCATCTTTTGTATCTGAGAGATTGAAAGTGATGCCATGTTGTGAGGACATCAATGTCTCAGATCAGCACTTTTTTCCCTATGATCTTGATTTGATTTTGATCGGATATGACTTGGTCTTGATATAAATCAATGATTTCTCAAATTGAAAGATTCCAAATCAAATGAATAAGATTATAATTTAAATGATTTTGTTTATTAATTGATTATGATTTGATTTCAATTGATTATGATTTGGTTTTGAGTGATTGAGTTCTGGATTTTGTAAAGGAATGAGGGTTGTTTTAAGTTGATAAGGTTGGAATCGAGTGAAAAAAGGAAAGTGAGGCCATTGAAGGGAGTCGAGTCAAGATTGGTGGGAAGAGTCAAAAAAAGGGAGGATGGTTAGAAAGAGTGGAAGAGGTGTCAGTGTTGAGGGAAAGAGATGATAGAAAAAGAAGACAAGTCATAAAACTCACTGTGATGGGCTGAGAACCGAGTGCGATAAAACTCACACACATACAAAATTGCATATATCAAAAACAAAACCAATTTTTTTTTGTTTTGAAGGATATGCACAATTTTTGCATATATATGCAAAAATCTGTGTGCGCCTTTTGTTGCACTTGGGTTTACCAAATGCCGATCTTGGGTCACATGTGCAACCAAATATCACTGCGCATTTTTGGTGGTGCGCATTTGGTCGCACATGTCACATTTGCATTACCAAAGGGGGTGTACTGTTCCTAGACTGTATGTATATGTAATTAATTTCATATAAATTTTTTTAATGTCACAAGTTAGTTCCGGGTACATGTATATGTACTCAGGGCTGACACCAAGTGATTTGATTAATTGGTTGGTGCAGGGACAAAAGGTCAGTAAGAAGTTTTATGGGTTGTCATTTACTTTTTTCTCATTGTTTGATATGTTTGTATGCTTAGGTTTTCAAAGAACTCCTGGACCTTGAACGTCTGAGAAGCAAGAATAAATGTGCTAGGTCTCCCCAAAAACCACATGGATATTTTCACAAGATCTATTCCTCTCCTGGTGACTGGAAATCTCTAGAAGAAATGATCAGTGAGATTGCAGTAAGTCTGATTTGTTTTCTTTATTTGAACAACATGATCTGTAATTTGTTGGTTACCTCATCTTAATGATAGCAGCCTTTCCTAGATCTGACCAAGCATATGATAATGAAGGGTGATGTACTGACTAGATCTATGGTCATCTTCTGCACACCAAAGGTTCACCTTGCCAATTGGAAAATCCCCTTTTAACAATAATCATCTCAATGCAGACAGAAGTGGACAAATACTTTGAGGAAGTCTTAAAATGTGACACAACTGTCATGGTGAGTTGCCTCAATCCTTTCTTTTGACTCAAGTTCTATGAGCAAGCCTTTGGATCTCAACATCCACACACTATCTGTGCAGCAAATTCATTAATATTCTTAAATACGGATTCATCCCCAAAATCTCTGAATCCTGCCACAATGGCAGGGCTTCAGCAATTTGGGAGGCAAATCATCAGGATCTCTCCGCTTCCCACTTGTGGCTCACCAAAGTGTAGCTGTGGGTAGCCTTGAGAGACACTGTTTTTCCTATCCATAGGCAATATGTGGAGTTGCATCACCAATCACTTCAACACTTAAAATGTGTTTTCTCTATGAACCTTGCTCTCATTTCCTAAATAGGAGTAGCAACCCTCTCCTATCCGGCAATATGGTCTCTGGATGTTTTTTTCTAACAAAAGTCTGCTGACTCTTGGACACAGTTTCAATATTTGATAGCATTTCATCATCTCCTTGAATTGGCACTGAGAATTGTGAGGCACTTTCAATTGCTTTGTTCACTCAGTTGTCTTCTTTTGTTTCCTTCCATTTTTGCCTTATGCATGTATGATACTTCATGCAATATTGAAGAATGTACATAGTCAATGTATGCATCACTCAGGACATGAATTTGCACTAACATATTGAACACAGAATATGACCTGAAAATTTGTCTGTTCATCAAGAAGGGAACACTGTGGACATTGAGTCCCAAGACAAGACCCATGTACACCTTTGAGATACCAACAAATGGGACACCGAGAGTCACTGTAAAGGAGATCTCAAAGGAGATTTAGGACCTCAAGAACTGTCAGTCACATCTTGACTTAAATATTTGAACTGTGTCACCTGTGCAATTACAAAGCAAGTTCTGGATATTTTTCTTGAGTTGCATTTGCCTCAGGGCAGGAACATGGGCCACAGAGTTGGAAGTGAAGCTCAAAAGCATTGAGGTTTGGTTCTTATTCAAATTCATTTGGCCCTGGCGGGAGGGCCTGCCTATTCTCTAGTTTTGAGATAATTTCAATGAGCAAAAGGATGATCTTGCATTGTCAGCATTGGCTAAGCCTAAGGAGACACCTGCCCCGACAACATTAAGCTCAGGGAAGTCAACAGTCAATAGTATCTTCCCGCTCTTCAAAGCTCAAGAGCCTGAGGTCCAGGTAGACAAAGCCACAGCCTACCTGAAGGGAGCAAATTAAATGGCTTCCACTGACAACACACGCAAAAACAAAGCTATCCTTCCCTGGTGGAACATATGTGGTTTTTTTTTTGTAAAATTCCCATCCTTCTTGTTCATTCACAGGTGAACAGCAAGGCCTTTCCAGTCCTGGCTGCTCTGGCCAGAGACTATATATATGAGTCTCCTTGCTTGTTTGGCGACAATTGAACGGACATTATTTGCAGCAGCAGATATCTGTTCATCCAATTGTGTCTCTCTCATGCCACAAACCATGGAGTGCTGTGTAGGTTCAAGACTCTGGATATGTCAAGGTGGCCCCTTGGCGCACAAGCATAGCAAGGTGAACAAAGCCATTGAGGCTTTTGGGGGCAGGAAGTAAAGTAGGATGATAAATGTGGAAACTAGGAAACAAATGTGTTTCTATCTCAATTTCATTAGTAGTACAAAAACTTTACAATGTTTTTCCGCTGTGTAGCGGCAACGCAACTGGGAATACGATGCCCGCTTCGGTGCGCTTTTTTAGGGAGAAAACGCTGCGGTGCGCCGCAACTCACCGCTGTCAGCACACCAGCGCAGCGCAGCCGTCCAGCGTTAAAAACAAGAAACCGCCGTAAATAAAATATGAGCGATGGCGAAAGATTCAAATGCAGTCCTCGTCTGCCTTCAAAGATATCCTGAATTGGCATTATTTGGTAATGGACATGCGAGTGACGTTCAACGATGGGGCTAAAGAGAGTCATGATTTTTCACAACTCACTCCGTACGAAAGTAGCTGAACCCTTTGATAGGGAGTTCCACCCCGAAATCATTGCGCTATTTCTTACATAAATCGTTCATGACAATTCACCATCATTTGTCTGTTAGTTTTGTTTTACCTTCAGGCCTCTTTGTACTCAAATGTCGTTATGTACGATGTGTGATTTTTCCGATCAAAACTCATTAAAAACAATTTATTACACTCCGCAGACCTAAAGAATAGTGCAATACCTATGACAAAATTAGCATTAGACGAACTGAAAAAAGGTACTTGATATGAAAAGAAAGACGCAAGAGATAGTAGAGATTATTCGAGTCAAATACAGAGAAATAGAGATGAGAAATTAATGAATATTCCGGGTACGCGCGATTGATAAAAGTATAGTCGCATTTATATCCTTAGAGGACCAAAAGTCAGCAAGCTTTTCAGTAAAAATTAATGGGATGTGAGTGGACGTTCAGTATTACATCTTCAGAAGAGGAAAAAGATAGCAGGGATCGGTATTTCACAAAGATGATTGATGCGGACAGAAATATCGATGATAATTAGGTGATGACAACCATGATCGTGTATGAATAGCAAGATCATCAGATGAAGCTAAAGTCTCAATTTGCTAGTGTAACGAGTTAATTCACCAGCAAATCGTTTCATATACGCGACATCTTCACCTCCAAAGACTCGCTTGGGGTCGATGGTAAAACCGCCGATCACGAAACCGCCAGCGTTAGTCTCAGGGCCAACTCGAACAAGAATAGCTGATGCATAAGGATTTGACCCATGTCCTGCTGTAAGACCGGCTTCTTGACCTTCTTGAGCGCTAGGATTTTGATATAATAATCCACCTTCAGGTGTGCGAAGTACTCGTAAATGTAAGCCGGCATCATAATCGGGACTCCGAGCTGGTAAATTGTAGCCAGAGATGACCATTGTTCGACCCATGTCCTTCGAATCACCGTGTGGAGAAACAGCGAGGAGGTATACCAAGGAGAAATTGATCGAGTCGCCGATGAGCTTAGTCGCTAGATCGAAGACCTTTTGCATCCTCGGCCTAATCATTGACGTCGGATCATCAAACAAGCTGGGGCGTTTCGAAATCAAAGAGCTTTTGGATTTGGTTAAAGATTTGGATAATGAATTGGCTTGAGAAGGTGATCTGCGGATGCTCAAATTCCCTTGTCCCTGGTTAGGTTGCGGGTATGGATGATTAATCACTTCACTATCGTTTTCCCATGGTAGTGCTTCAGAATCCTCTTCCAAGGCTTCAACTTTTTGAATGTCTTCCACAAAGGTCTTATGTGTTTCTTCAAGTCCTTCCACCTTAACAGCTAGTTTGCTCTGAAACCATTTCTCGATCTCACGCCGGGCATATTCTGCCATGTAAACAAGCTTCTTGCGTTCCTCGATGCCAAATTCTTCACGTGGCTTATCGTCGACAATGCATAAGGTACCTATCGGACAAGCTGCCTCGTCTGACTCTGGTGACCCATCAAGATTGGGCGCCAGGAGTGGTACACCTTCGAGGAATTTGCAGTTAATAAATCATTCGTATTTCATAACTCCTCAAGCCAAAAAATAGT